ACACATTATTATTATGTGAAAAGGTTATCCAAAATATTAAACTGAAGCCTGTGTTGTAATGCCCCAGGAGTTGAAAGATAAGGGTTTGTCACCGAAAGCATTCCAAAAGCTCTTATTTCATTTTATAGTGTAACAATGCAATCATTTTAGGGTTTGCGACTTCTTTTCTAGTAACATAGTGACCTTTGTACCTTATAAACATGTCTGAAATGTACTGTATACATTATAATATTAACATCCCTAATTTACTGATTATCTGCGTCATCATTTACCTGCCTCTTATTTTATGATATGTTACAAATACACTCTGCATTGGAGCTTGAGGTTATTTGGAATATTCAGAGATATAACAACACATATATATTCTTAAAGAAATAGCATTGAATAAGGAAAAGGAACGAAGAGATCTCACTGAAACAGAATGATGGGAGCCCTATTTGTGTTTTTATTGCTGATTTTCTTCATAAGTTGTGGTGAGTTTTATTATATTTTATATTAAGCTATAGCAATGAACAATCTTTTAAATCCCTTTAAAGCGGTTTGTAGTGCCATAAATAGAAATCCCCACAAATATAGAATTTAATATTTTTGAATACGTTTTGAAAGATTTAATATTTTTGGATAAACTTTTTTTTGAAAAAAAAAAAAATGTCCAAAGTATTAAAATGTCAGAATTATATCATATTTATGAAAAAGTATCAATATATAAAAAATTTAAAAATAAACTTGAAATATTTTTAAAAATATAAAATAATTTTAAAAGTTTATCTGAAAATATTAAATAATTTTATTTAATTCAAAGTAATTTTACAATTTTAAACCATAATGACTGAACTGAAAACATATTTAATGCATTGAGGCTACTCAGCTTTGTGCCTGAATTCGCTTTAATCAAGCTTGGTAGCATTGTCCTAGTTGAGTTTTAATTGCAAGTAAATTGTATTTATCCCCTTAAAACCCCATGACATACCAATCGCAATACATAGCCGCTTGAAGGCTTTAGAAAGGTTCTGACTGTGAGTTGACACATTAATGCTTTTCTGTTCCTTTTAGAGGCTGCTAATGGATATCTATAAGTGCCCGGACATTCTTTATTTTTTCCAAATTGTAATTTTGCAGTGATCAGGTTGTGATCAGGTTGTACATACAATGCATCGGAAATTATTCAAATCCCTTCTTTTTTCGCTTTTTTATGTAGCCATATGCTACAATTATTTACATTATTTTTTCACATCATTTCTATAATAAAAAACTGTTTTTTTTTTAAAACTTATTCGAACGAAAAAACACTTAAATATTACGTTGAGATACGTATTCAGCCTCTTTGCCCTGACAATTGCAGTTCAGCTTAGATGTATCCCATTTGTTGGATCATGTTTCTACACTTTGATTGAAGCCCACCTATGGCAAATTCAGTTCAATGAACATGCTATGGAAAGTCATACATCCGTCTAAATAAGGTCTGACAGCTCTATATGCATGAGGCTGTAATGATTTAACTAAGTACTGAGTTATATTTCAGTTTTTTGTTCTGTATAATATATTTGCAGTGGAGTAAAAATCTAGTATTTTTTGCTTTGTCAGCGGGCAGTATTAAGCATAAATTGATGCGAAAAACAATAATTCAGATAATTTAAGCATTATACTGCAACATAAAAACTATTTTGAAATAATTTAAGGGGTCTGAATATTTTCTAAATGCACTGGCATAGCAGACATACTAGAATACAACACAAAACAAAGTCATACAGTATATTTAGTTAAAGGTAGGACATTACCACTTTATCGACGATTCAATGCATATTTGCTGTCTAAATTTAACAAGCATTTTGAGATAATTCGGCAGCATGACACAAATTAAGCAAACTAGACCAATTTTCTTTGTTAATATTTGAATATTTCAAATTGGACACTAACGGGGTTTTGTACTAAACTGGGAAATATAGGGAACTAACAAGGAGATTTTCAAATTCTGTATCAAAATTGCTGAGCTGGAAACATAGCTGAGATAGGGGATTTTACCAATTCGGCTATTTTATTCTACTTTTGAAACTGATAAATTCATAAAATTTCTGGTATAATTAATAACTAGACTTATGTATTTAGTTTAAAATTAATTGCAATTTGCCCAAATTGTTGGCAACAGGGGGGTCATCCTAATGCTGCACCTCCAATTCGCCATATGGCCGAATCACAAAACAAACTAAACGGATAATGGATATACAGTTTCATTTGATTTTTATTAAAGAGTTTGCTGGAGATTGTACAATACTAATGTATGCAATGTATACAAAGTTTGTCTATAGAGACATAAAATGTTCAGAAAAGAGAACATCACATTCCATTTGCTGGAAGGATAGGTAAAAGGAACATCCTTGGTAAATACAAGAATAGTAAGGGAAGGTTATGTAGTGCACACATAAATCAGAGAGAAAGAGAGGTCCCAGTCTGTTAAATCAGGAGAGTCCCCTTTTTGCTGTTATAACACAAGTTGCAATACTGGTTATGCTGAAATGTTTGTGAATTCGGTTCAAGGAAGGAGTCCCGTAGAATTTTGCATAGGCAGGGTCATGTAGGGGGAAGGTTGAAAGATTGGAGTTGTTTCCCAGATAGATAAAGAGTAAATTTTCAGGTGACAAAATAATAATTCCCAATCAACAGAATCACATTGGGATCACTTGCGTTTGGACGTAGAGCTCTGTGCACTCTGTACATGATTACTGGGGTGTCTGTAGGTTAAAAAGCTCAGTTAGGGTAGCTCTCAGATACTACTGATCTTTTCAGGTAGACCCTTCATTCAGAGGTAATTGCTCCTCCCGCTGTTATCCAGGTCGTTTATCAGTCTGTGTAGCATGGACATGGGTGAGTTTTGAGTGTCTACTGTAGTTTGTGGTTGTTGTACTTGGGAATACAGTAGATCTCTGTCATCTTCAAGGGTGCTTATCCTGTCTCCAATATGGTGGATGTCTGCACCTATGACTCCAATTTCGTTAGCAAGGAAACCTACAGTTTGCAGCTAGATCACCTTTATAAGGTAAGTTTGGTATAAGTTAGGTATTTCAGGTCGGTGTCCACTGCGGATAGTGAGCCATCTGATCCCTCCAGACTGGATGCAGGCTCTGTGTTTGGATCTAGGGAGCCCGTCTGATTGTCCACATTATAGCGGGAAAACTTGTTGTGAGAACAGGGAATGTTTAGGGTGTCCTATGATGATTTTGATGCCAGATGTCTGCAGATTTGTAACTGCAGCGGTCGGAGCCAATTCAAAACGCGGCCATCAATCTCCGAGGCTAGCTCCTCCACCCCTATATTGTTTTTTAATGTGTATTTTGATTGCTCTTTAATTTCATTTAAATTGAAAATCAATATAGAGGTTGTTTTTCATCCCATTTTTATGAAAACTCATGTAACATATATGCTTTAACAGTGGTTTATCTATCTTTTCCTTACTTATCCCTCTCCCACACCTTAAATGTGGAATGTCCTGCCCACAAAAAGTAAAATCTCACCTTGATCGACTGCATAGGGCAAATTCTCCCTACAGCCTGATTCTTTCTTAGTGAGCTTGCTGGACTTAGAATGTCAACAAGAATGGGCTAAGGGAAGAACTTGAGCAGAAGGGGGACCACTGGTCACCTGTAGCCAGTATGCTGTGAATGCTGATGACAGATGTTCAATATGCACAGAATATATAGCCAGCCAATGACCCTCATTCCAGGCTGGCTAATGATGCCCTGATGGCGCTGCTGGATGTAGAATCAAACAGCCAGCTGCAGAGGGCTTTTACTCTGTAAATGCATTTAATCAGAAAATCCTGCACATACAGAATGTAAGCATGATGATTAACAGCTATAACTAGAGTTGAGCGGACACCTGGATGTTAGGGTTCGCCAAGATTGGCTGAATTTTGTAAAAAAGTTTGAATTCGGGCTCAAACTTGACCCCAAACCCCATTGAAGTCAATGGGGACCCGAACTTTTGGGCACTAAAATGCCTCTAAAAAAGTCCTGGAAAGGGCTAGAGAGATGTAAAATAACATAAAATACCTAAAAATTAAAAATTAAAAATACAGCTGAGCCATAAAATAACACTAGATGGAATCTTTCATTTTAGCTTTGGAAGAATATAAATCAAAATCTAAAGCATTTGGCTGTCAGGAGGATCACCAGAATTATCCATTTGAGAGAACGTTGGAGTGCAGGGTATTCTCTTTCATTGTTCAAACTGAGCTCAACTCCTGATGCATGGAGAAAAGGCCTTCACAAGCCTCTACTATTGTGTACATAGTTTATACTAAGTGACCCATAGGTTGAGGAGGCAGTGACCGTGGAAGCGGCGGTGGAGGAGGAGGTGGTAGCCAACACTGTTTTTTATTTATTTATTTATTTTTTAATTGGGGTAGCCCCCAAAATATTGGGATATATATAAAAAAAAAATTTTGCGGCCTGCGGTGCATTTCTTGCAGTCCAATAACGCCATCAGGTTTTTAAAACTGTCCGTCTCCACCAGACGGAAGGACAGCATTTCAAAGGCCAGGAATTTTGAAATGCTGACATTCAGTGCCAGGGATCGCAGGTGGGTAGGGGGGTACTTCCTCTTTCTCTCCAGTGTTTGGGAGATTGACTGCTGAACGCTTCCAGGGACAGTGTGGAGATGCTTGGGGACTGTGGCGGATGTGGCAGGTGCCACTGTCACTCTAGAGGTGGAGGAAGAGCCCGAGACAGCAGCAGAAGAGGAAGTAGGAATAGCCTGAAACCTTTCTTGGTTTTTGAGGTGCTTACTCCACTGCAGTTCGTGCTTTGCATGTAGATGCCTGGTCATGCAGGTTGTGCTCAGGTTTAGAATGTTTATACCTCACTTCAGGCTCTGATTGCACAGTGTGCAAACCACTGGTGTCTTGTCATCAGCACATTGTCTGAAGAACTGCCACACCAGTGAATTCCTTGGAGCTGGCTTTGGTGTACTCGGCCTCTGGGTGCGGTGGGCAGTAGCAGGTGTACTGTCTAGGGGACGGCCGCTCTGCTTTTACACTCTGCTATAGGAGGAGGAGGTGGATGTGGCGTAGGAGGTTGAGGAGGCGGTGACCGTGGCAACGACGACGCATTCGGATGTCTGCCCTATCAACTTTCGATGTTACTTTCTGCGCCTACCATGGTGACCACGGGTAACGGGGAATCAGGGTTCGATTCCGGAGAGGGAGCCTGAGAAACGGCTACCGCATCCAAGGAAGGTAGCAGGCGCGCAAATTACCCACTCCTGACGTGGGGAGGTAGTGACGATAAATAACAATACTCTTTCCAGGCCCTGTAATTGGAATGAGTCCACTTTAAATCTTTTAACGAGGATCTATTGGAGGGCAAGTCTGGTACTGAGCGACTGACCCGCGCGTGCTGCAGCTGAAATTCCGCTATCGCCTGCTGCTGCTCGCGCAGTCTTTCCAGCATGTGCAAGGTGGAGTTCCACCTTGTGGGCATGTCGCATATGAGGCAGTGAGTGGGAAGGCCAAAGTTACGCTGCAGCGCAGACAGGAGAGCAGCAGCAGGGTGAGAACGCTGTGAAACTGCGAATGGCTCATTAAATCAGTTATGGTTCTTTGATCGCTCCATCTGTTACTTGGATAACTGTGGTAATTCAAGAGCTAATACATGCCGATGAGCGCTAGGGGACGACCACTCCGCTTTTGCACCCTGCTCCCTCTTTTGCTGTGCTGGTGCCTCTGTGCGACCAGTGCCTCTTCTTCCAAACTGCACACATCACTCGCATTACCTTCATTCCATGTGGGACCTAGGTGGGGTCTAGGACCTCATCATCCTTCACATCATCTTCCACTTACTCCTCAACCCTGCCCTCCTTACCAGTCTGCACACTGCAGAAAGCCACAGCAGTTGGCACCTGTGTTTTTCCAGCATGTAAAGTCTGCAAAGGACATATGGAAATTGTTTTAGAATTATATCCAGGCAACAGTTTTCCCTATAAACTGACCTCTCAGTTTGACTTGTGAGGGTATTGCCCCAGAATTACAATATTGTTTAAGTACCTCTTAGCCATTGATAACTGTTTTAAATATAGCAGCTTGTTATCTGGTAGTTTCTAGTGTAGAAAATATCAATCTGTTTTCTATCACTTAGATTTGTTTAACAAGTGTTGTATGTGTGAAACAATATTACAAGTGACCAATGTAGTAAATTCGAATCAAAGTTCCATTTGCAAAAAATAATTCTCACATATCTTCTGTGGGTTATTGCATTTTTAAGATGTAGACTTATTGTATCCCACTAGCCATGCACAGGTAAATTGTCTGGCACGTTGTTTTGGTGTTTGGTTTTTAACTTTGTAGTTGTTTCTTTACACAATATAGAAATGTATATTAATGCTTCTGTATATGAAGCGATCACAATAACAATTATTTTTCACAGTTTATTTTGACGGTTCTATTTGACTCTCAAATATGAAGTGCAGGCCCCAAATGTACAACTTAGCACCTAAAAAATTTGAATGTTTAAAAATGCTCTGTAAGCACAGTATTTGACGGTTCTATTTGACGCTCAGATATGAAGTGCAGGCCCCAAATCTACTTTTTAGCACCTAAAGAATTAGAATTTTTAAAACTGCTATGTCACAGCAGTATTTGACGGTTCTATTTGACTCTCAGATATGAAGTGCACGCCACAAATGTACTTTTTAGCACCAAAAAAATTTGAATTAGGCAAACTGCAATGTCACAGCAGCATTTGACGGTTCTATTTGACTCTCAGATATGAAGTGCAGGCCCTAAATGTACAATTTAGCACCTAAAAAATGTGAATGTTTAAAAATGCGCTGTAAGCACAGTATTTGAAGGTTCTATTTGACTCTCAGATATGAAGTGCAGGCCCCAAATATACTATTTAGCACCTAAAAAATGAAAATTTTTAAAACTGTGCTTTAAGCACATTATTTGATGGTGCTATTTAAAGCTCTGATATGAAGTGCAGGCCCCAAATGTACTATTTAGCACCTAAAGAATTTGAATGTTTAAAAATGCGCTGGTTCTTGACGGTTCTATTTGACTCTCAGATATGAAGTGCACCGCAGACAGCAAATGTACTATTTAACACCAAAAAGTTAGATTTTTTTAAACCAACAATGTAACAGTAGTATTTAAGTGTTTTATTGAAATGCAAGAAATGCAGTACGCATATGTACTATTTAGCACTCAAAAAATTGCAGTATTTAAAAATGCCTAGATGTTGCCCCCTGAGCTACCAGAACAGGATTAAAGTAATGTGCCTGGCACACATGCAGTTGCAAGTGCACTGCACTCTCTGTGGCACTGTGCTCAGGGCAGGGTACAAAAATGTAGTATAGCACCCACAAGAATAATCGCTGTAGTTTGCAGATTCAGCACCAGAATTCTTTCCTAATCTGTTCCTCACAGATGCAGCATCCTCTCCCTACACTAATAAGAGCTCGTGTAACATGCGGCACTACGTGACTCCAGATTATATGTAGAGGCTGGGTCACATGCTGCACTGGCCAATCACAGCCATGCCATTAGTAGGCATGGCTGTGATGGCTTCTTAGGTCACACAAGTCAGATGCTTGTTGATTGGCTGCCCTGCAGCCTTTCAAAACGAGCCATTAAATCACCGAACACCGAACTCCAACATACAGTAAAATGTATACAGTAAAATGTCCGTGTTTGGGTCCTGGATCCAAAAACCGTAATGTTCGCTCAACTTTAGCTATAACTCTTAAAATTGACTAATTAATATAACTTTTATTTATAAAACCATCAAACATTGGGCTTGATTTAATTTGTTGAACCAGAATCCGGAATGATTGCACATTATTAGAAAGAAAAACAATGTTTCAAATTATTTATCTAAAAATATGCCAAACGACGTTAATGATAACTTCTGTAGATAAATCATTTTAAATGTTTGTTTTTTTACAACAAAATGCAATGATTTATGATTCTTGCCTTGATTTAATATCATTGGATAGGCTATCCAAATGATTTAATGTTTTTGGATATTTTTTTTTAATTATTTATAACATATCAAAATATCAGAAATATATCATACACATATAAAAATATTAATCAAAATCAATATATTACAACATTTCAATACTTGTCATAATATTAAAGGAACACTATAGGGTCAGGAACACTATAGGGTCAGGAACACAACCATGTATTCCTGCCCCTATAGTGTTATAAACACCATCTAGCCCCCTCCCACCCACTTAAATATAGTATAAACCTTACCTTTACTCCAGTCTGCTGCTGCTGGCTCTGCCCCTGATCTGCCTACTTGGCTGACAGCATCAGAAGGGCTAAACATAGGAGGTCATTGGACTGGCTGGGACTGTCATGGATGCAGATCATGGGCAGAGCCAGCACAAGCCAAACACACCACTTGCCAATAAGCATATCCTCATAGAAATGCATAAAATTAATGCATCTCAATGAGGAAAATTCAGTGTATCCATGCAGATGGTGGTGACACTGAATGGCAGTGCCACGCAATATGCAGCACTGCCCCAGGAAAATAAATTGTAGTTGTTATGGTAACTACAGTGTCCCTTTAAATCATTTTAAATATTTATTCAAAAATATTAAACCATTTGAAAAGCTTCACCAGCAATATTAAATCTCAGTCTGTGATTCAAACAAATTGAATTGAGGACCTTCATGTAATATTTTTGGATAAGCTTTTCAAATGATTAATCTACAAAAGTCACCCTTAAAGTATATGGGAATTTATGTAGAAATATAATTTGGAAAGGTTTTCTTACAGTAGTGAGTCATTTGGAAATCTTATTAACCCCTTAACGCAGTTACGGCATTCTATACCGTCACGGCTTTAAAGGGCTTTAAAGCCGTTGCGGCGGCATAGAACGCCGTAACAGCTTAAGCCCCCAGGAGGTAAGATTTACTTACCTCCACCGCGATCCTCTTCTGGAGGGCTGCCTGACAGCCCAGGCAACCCTTCCCGGGCAAATGAGGCCCGTGGGGGCCATGTGATCGCCCTCAAAGAGCGATCACAGGGCCCCCTATAGCTGGCTGTGAATCTGCCAGCAGGGGGACTGTCTGAAATGTCAGACATTTCCCCTGCTGGTGGAAAGTGTGAAAAAAAAATTAAACATGTTTAAAAATAAAATAAATCTATTTATAAATCACATATATACATATTATATATATGTAACGTCATACAAAGTGTATTTTAATACTAATATTAGTATTTATATTAATATTAAAATACACTTAGAATGATGTTACATATATATAATATGTATATATACATATATATATATTATATATATATAAGAGATATATACACATATATTATATATATATATACGTATAATTACAATAATAAATAAATAAAATAATAAAATAAATAAATAAAATATTGAAACAAAATTTAATATAAATTATATATTCATAAGTAATTTCATTCTAACTGTATTTTGTTATTAATTTATATATATATATATATGTATATATATATATATATATTGGTAACAAAATACACTTAGAATGACATTCTATATATCTATCTATATATAAAATACAAATAACCGCAAATATATACATATAGATAAATACATATAATTACATAAAATATTACATTAGTGCACACGTAGAATTTAAATACCTATAAATGCATATACAGTATATTAAAATTATACATGTATATTTAAGTAATCTTTTAACATAATTATGCGATTTGATTAATTTAAATTTGATTGACATGCCTGACAACACAGGGAGAAAGTGCAGAGAATTTAATTCGCAAGCACTATATTTGACCATGTAACTCTCCAAGGCACCATAAAACCTGTACATAGGGGGTACTGTTTTACTCGGGAGACTTCGCTGAATTCAAATATTAGTGTTTAAAACTGGTAAATTGTATTACAATGATGATATTTTAAGTAAAAGTGAAGTTTTTTTAATTTTTTACAAACGAACGGCACTTTTATGGACTATATTATTGTTGTAATATGTTTTACTGTTTTAAAACACTAATATTTGTGTTCAGTGAAGTCTCCCGAGAATAACAGTACCTCCCATGTACAGGATTTATGGTGTTTTGGAAAGTTAGAGAGTCACATATAAGGCTTGCATTTCATTTTTTTGAAATTGACATTTGCCAGATTGGTTATGTTGCCTATGAGAGTGTATGGTAGCCCAGGAATGAGAATTATCCCCATGATGGCATACCATTTGAAAAAGTAGACAACCCGAGGTATTGCAAGTGGGGTATGTCCAGTCTTTCTTAGTAGCCACTTAGTCACCAACGCAGGCCAAAGATTAGTTTTTTGCTTTTTTCACACAAAAATAAATATGAACGATAACTTTGGCCAGTGTTTGTGACTAAGTGGCTACTAAAAAAGACTAAACATACCCCAC